AAACAGAGCACCTTAACTTCTATACTATCTCCCCAGCCCAAGAGATGCTTCTTTTTACAATTTTATAGAGGCTAAATTAAGATTAAAAATAAGATGAATATGTGTTTAACTGTCAGTTATTAACTATGAATATTGTTTTTCTGACTTTAAGAAATCATAGACCTACCTTAACTCTGAAATATTTGATGAGATAACAGTATCATTATTGTCATTCATACAATAGTCACTTAACTGTTAATGCCTAGAAAGATAGGAAAATTAATTCTCAATCAGCTCATTGAATCTTCTTAAAATTGGATAAGCATAATATATCAGCCATTTTTTACAAGTCCTAAGTTTTAAATTAAATAATTCAACATTCTTTTATAACCATGTGTTCATGTGGTCCTGTCTCAATCCTAACTAAATGATGCATTCCAACTCTTAAATGATTTTTCCTGTGAGCTGTGGTTGAATGGCCCTCATCGTTTTCAAAAAATCAACTTGAAACAATAAAATTGAGAATACTCTTGATTTTTAATTTGTGTTTTGCAATTCATACTCTAAACAGAATGCCCCAAAGCAGAACCAGGTGGCAGAAGGAGAAGAGGACTAGTTACTCAAGTTTTGCTTTGTTTGAACCTCAAAGCCAGCATTTTCAAGGAACAGAGGACCTGGACAGTTTCTGCAGTCACTCTCCAGTGTCTGTTCAGCCACCAACCATGGCCTAGTGACACAAAAATCATGCCCTATAGCTGGGCCTCTGGTTCTACTAACACAGTGTGTGATGATGAATCTAAATTTTGAGAACTGGTGTTTAACAGTCCTGTAGCATAACAGGGGCCTGGTGAATGAAACTTTCTGCAGTTTATCAGCAGGAAGATAAGAGGTCCTGGTTCCAGGAGCAGCACAGAGGAGATATTCATCTTACCCAAGTTTCTGAGTTTGACCCATACCAAATAATTCAGAAGTAAAGTCAACACACCCAAGACCAAAGCCAGCAAGGAATTTTCTAAGATAAGAGTACAACTTTGTTCTTAAAGGGACGCCAACCACATCAGTTTATCCTCAAATATTCTGAGCAGAATAAGCCTTTTTATAACTAGGGAGCTCAGTTTTGGACCTTGATTTGTGTGAATTCTAGAAGCAGATAGCCTGCTGTTGTTTTCAAAGGATGCACAGAACTAAGAAGTGGCTAAGAAATTTGCTGCAGGGTCAAGGGCCTTAGCTTAACCCTTGAGGTTGGACCAATCAGTTGTAGAAACCAGAGGCAGCTCTGCAGGCAAAAACAAGCATTCCCCTTATTTAGGGCTTTGTTTCTTCTCTGTTGGCTGCGTCTACTCCAGAGCCCTTCCATGACCGTATGAGACCTTGTACTAGGAGGAAGATACTATATAAAAAGGTGATTCAGTCTTTGAGACAATAAAGGTGTAAAATATCCCTGCAATCATTTGTTTAAATACCTCCTCATATATTTGGTTTTATCAGCCTGGGCGATACTGCGGGTGCTAGAGCATGTGCCAAGGGACAAAGCTCAGTACCATGTACAAGGTCCTAAGCTTTGTTCCTCTCACTTGAGGTGTGGCCCAGGTACCCCTGACCCTGTTCCCCTCCCTTCCCCCACCTCCAGCACACACACACACACCCCTAGCACCAGCAGGCCTGGCCCAGACCAAGTGTCCCTGGAAATGGTCCCTATAAAAGAATTAAAAATCAGTGTGCCAGGGTGGCACACAACACACAGTGATGAAAGTCATTGGCACAGTGGTGGCAGGGGACCAGGACAAGCTAGTCAGCTAGTTTCAAAAGACCATCTTGGAGGTTTGTTTTGTTTTGTTATAGTTTTGGCCACACCAGTTGGTGCTCAGGGCTTACTCCTGGCTCTGCACTCAAGGATCACTCCTGGCAGGCTTCAGAGACCTTGTGGGGTGTTGAGGATCAAACCAGGGTTGGTGGAATGCAAGGAATTCCCTTGCTGTTGCTCCAGCCCTGAGGCCAGTTGTGAATGAGAGGAGAAGCTCAGAGGCTCTCACCTTTGATTGTTGTTTTTTGGGGTTTGTTGTGTGTTTTTTTTTTTTTTTTTTTTTTTTTTGCTCTCACCTTTGATCTCTGGCCTGAAATCTAACAGTATCACTTCTTGCTCCGGGAAGTTCCTGCCTCTGAGTTCCTGTGCAGGCTAGTGTGTGACTCCCTGGGTTCCTGTTCCTCTCAGTCTGCATAGAGTCATCACCGTGTCAGCTTGGACAAACCCTTGTGTCCTGTCATTTCCTCAGGTTTCTCACAGTAAAGCTCCTACTCATTTTGATTATTATTAAACACTCTCATTAATCTTTTTGTTTGTTTGTTTTGTTTTGGTGCCACACTCAGTGGTGCTCAGGGCTTTTTTTTTTTTTTATATAATGTAGGAATACTGCTATTTATTCAGCCATTGATTAAGCAGATTGAATTGGGCATGAACTCCACATTACTTTTACTCTTTTTATTCAGAATGTTTTGGGGTTTTGTTTTGTTTTTTTTTTTTTTTTTTTGCTTTTTGGGTTGCACCCAGCGGTGCACAGGGATTACTCCTGGCTCTGCTCTCAGAAATGACCCCTGGAAGTGCTCAGGGGACCATTTGGGATGCTGGGAATTGAACCCGGGTTGACCGTGTGCAAGGCAAATGCCCTATCGACTATGTTATCACTCCAGCCCCCCCAGAATGTTAATTTTATTATTTTATTATTATTTCCCCCACCCCTTCTTTTTGATTCACCATGAGATACACTTACAAAGCTTTCGTGTTTGAGCGTCAGTCATAGAGTCATCAAACACCCGTCCCTTTACCAGCACACCAAATTCCCCAGCATTCCCCCATCCTTACCCCCGTTCCAACCCTTACCGTGCCTGTGTGATAGACACTTTCCCCCATACTCTCTATTTTGGTTACATTTGATATTTCAACGCCAGTCTCACCACCTTTCAAACCTGCTGAAAAGGCAAAGCTAGACAATTTTTTTTGTATTGCTTGTTATGGATAGAATATAATGTCCAGGAAATTCTGTGTTGTTCTCTTCCAGGACTTTTAGTTTATAGTCTCTTGATGAGATTACATGGCTCCGGGGGTGATTTGTGGGTGTGACTGCCAAGCTACTGGAAAACTGGGGACCTGAGGGGAAGAGTCCCAGTCCCTGTCCAAGTGGACCTGGAGCTCTCAATCACGTGTTCCTACCTACCTCCATGCTACAGGCCCTAGCTGCATCTTTTGATCTCGTTCAAGATTTATGGGTCTCTGAAATAAGGCCAATAAGTGAGCTTACATAGCTGAGTCGGAAGTGGTTTGTGGGTGTGGCTCCCATATACCTAACTTTTGGCCATTTAATTTCTTGGTAAACTTGCCCCAAGTTGTTGGAGTCTGGCCAAAAGCACAGCAGCAATTTTGGGGTATCTGAAAGTCTGAAGACATCGTCAAGCTGTTGATGCACTCGCCCCGCAGGTACAGGTTGATCTTCTGGTGACACCATACCCCCATCAGGGTTTATCTGGCTCTGCACTCAGGGATCACTCCTAGCGGGGCCTCCAGGGACCTTCTGGGGTCCTAGGGATTGATTGAGTCCATGTCAGACGCTTGCATGGCAAGCACCACACCTGCTTTACTATTTCTCTGGCCCCATTACTTATCTCTGTACAGCGTCTCTCTTGACCTTTATTTCAATCTTTCTGCCTCTGTGCTCTTGTCCCTGCTGAGTTTCCCCTTATCCTCCCGCTGTCCACAGTCCAGATACCTCTCCTCCACGAAATGCTTTTAGGCAGGTCTGCCTGCTCCTCTGAGCTTTACCTGCTTCTTGCCCAACCTTCACTAGATTACCTTTGGCAATCAATCACGTTCTATTTGGTGAACTGATCTTTATTTTTAGGTGCTTCTCCTTTCTCTGTAACTGCCCTCCCCTCACCACATCTCTGTGTAGGTGTGTGCACGAGCTACAAAAGAGGCCTGTGCAAATAAAACCTAGATCTGAACAAAACTTTAGAATATGCCAACAGATTCTTTGTGCCACTGTGATTCATTTGTAATTCTTACTTCTGGTCTTGACTTTCCTCCCTGAAGGCAGGGGTCTTTGTCTTCTGCCAGCCGCTGTACTGACCTCCCCTGCAATGGCCTTTCTTACCTGTGAAAAGCTGAGTACCTCTTTACAATAGCCAGAATCTGAAAAAAACCTGAGTGCCTAAGAACAGATGACTGGTTAAAGAAACTTTGGTACATCTACACAATGGAATACTATGTAGCTGTTAGAAAAGATGAAGTCATGAAATTTACATACAAGTGGTACTACATGGAAAGTATCATGCTAAGCGAAATGAGTCAGAAAGAGAGGGATAGACATAAAAAGATTGCATTCATCTGGGGAACATAAAGTAACAAAATAGGAGATTAATACCCAAGAATAGCTGAGATCAGTACCAGGAGGATTACTCCATGGCTTAGAGGCCAGCCGGGCATTCTAGGGGAAAGGGCAGCTCAGATAGAAAAGGGAGCACCAAATAAAGGGTGTTTGGAGGATCCTCCCAGGAGGGGAGATGCATGTTGAAAGTAGACTATGGACCGAATATGATTGCCACTCAATGCCTCTTTTGCAGACCACAACACCCAGAAGAAGAGAGAAAACAAAAGGGAATGCCCTGCCACAGAGGCAGGGTGGGATGGGGGGGATGGGGATGGAAGGGATACTGGGATCCATGGTGGTGGAAAATGGGCACTGATGGAGGGATGGGTATTTGATCATTGTATAATCGAAACCCAAGCATAAAAATTTGTAAGTCTACAACTGTACCTCATGGTGTTTCACTAATAAAAATTAAAAAAAGAAAAAGAAAAGAAAAGCTGAGTGCCAGCTGTGACTGCTGCTCTTATGAGGGGTCACTGGCCCAAGGTTTACTGCCAGTCTTGAATTCTGCTCTGTGTTCTAACTACTGGGCATGGTGGTGTCTTGCTCCTGGACTGGCAACCTGCCTTCATTACTTCTGTTTCTCCATTTTTTCCTCAGATGCATATTCCCATTCCTCGAGTGAAAATGGAGGCAAGTCTGAGTCAGTGGCCAACCTGCAGGCTCAGTCCTCCCTGAACTCCATTCATAGCTCTCCCGGGCCCAAGCGTTCCACCAACACCCTGAAGAAATGGCTGACGAGTCCCGTGCGCCGCCTCAACAGTGGGAAAGCAGATGGAAACATCAAGAAGCAGAAGAAAGTACGGGATGGCAGGAAGAGCTTCGACCTGGGATCTCCTAAGCCTGGGGATGAAACAACCCCACAGGGAGACAGCGCTGATGAGGTACTTTCCTACCATGAAGAACATAATCCCTCCTAGGCCTGCTGCCCCAGGCACCAGCGCCAGCTCCCAGTCCTTGATCTTATTGGGCCTTCTTTGTACATGGCAGTTTGCTTTGTGAGCATTTCAAGGAACGGTAGCCTCTAGAATATCCTGGAATCTAACACGATTCTGCCAGATTGGAGATGGGAGCCTGGCGTGAGGGGAGTGAATTGGTGAGGTGACTTTGTACCTTGTAAAAACCCTTGAGAATGAGGATAGAAAGATGGAGATCCTTTCACTTGGAAAGCAGAAGACTGTGTGGAGACAATTTTGCTCTTTGCATGTATTTCACGCGTTGTCATATGTTGAAGGAAGCAGAAAAATTCAGATTGCTTTAGAGAGAGTTATGATTAACAGGTGTGAGTAGATAGTAGGATGAGTTTTGATTTAACATTGATGCTGACACTGCAATTTGTATTAATAAAACCATTTCCAAATATGAGCCACTGGTGTTACATGCTAGCATCAGTGTGCTAGGAGGAACTCGGTGGGGCACGCCCCATGATGAAATGAGTCGTTATCAAATTAGATGGACACAGGGACTGGAAGGCTATAAGCAGCTGTCTGACCTTACATTATGGTGAGACTCGGGTGTTAGCCAAGAACCAGACTGGACAATCTCTAAAAGTTCCTTCTGAAGCTAACAGTCTGCATCTAAATATGGTACTTTTGTTTAGTCTGGAAAATGAAATAGATCTTATCTGGCTAACATACTCTTGTCACTTATGTGGTTGAGAAACTCTTTCTGATGTGTAACACACTGTAATTTTATGCTCCCTATGTTTGAAAATAGCTACAGAGTGGAGCAATATGCAGGTTGGTTTAGAACTCTGTCTGAAACTTAAGAAGTTAGGCCCTTTTGACCACTCTTTGAATTTTCCCTTCCCCTGATTGCGTAGTACCCCCAAATTGCCAGGAGTGACTCCAGAAAATAGAGCCAAGAGTAGTCCCTGGGTACCCCTGAACACAGCCCCCCCCCAACAACAAAATTCTACGTCCTAGGGTTAGATATTATTTCAGTGGCAGAGCACATGCCTTCATGTGTGAGGCCTTGGGTTCAATCCCCAGCACCACTAAAATAAACAAACAAATAAACAAACAAAAAACCTTTAAAGTCATGTAAGTCCTAAAGCATTGGCATCTTTATATGAAACAGTGATTAATGATGCTCTTTTGTTCCAGAAGAGCAAGAAAGGTTGGGGTGAAGATGAGCCAGATGAAGAGTCACACACACCTCTCCCTCCACCTATGAAGATCTTCGACAATGACCCTACCCAGGACGAGATGGTAGGTTGAAGGAGCACCGTGTCCTAGATGGGATTGCATTTGTGTGCATGATGGGGAGTGGCTCTCTCCCTTGTTTGTTATCTCTCAGGCCATGGAAGTCTGTGAGGATTGGATTCGTCCTGTGTTTGACTGGGATGCCCAACAGCAGTGGTCCTGCAGGTCTGACTCCGCTCTGGGCCTGGGAATGGTGTGTGGATTCTCAGGGCGGGGCTCTGCCCAGTGTCTCAGCCTGCAGTGCAGGGTATTGGCTCTGCCTTTGGAAGCAGCAGATTCCAAGGGGAACTGTTTGTCTCAAAAAGAGAGTGCAAAGCAGTCCAGGTCATGGTCTCTTCACTGTACCTGACTGTATGACCTGGGTTTCAGTTGATTGTTTTCACTATGCTCAACTCCAAAGTCCAAGTTAAGGCAACTTCCAGTCAAGTCTGGTGCAGTGGAAATTCTGCCCACACAGCATGAGGGATAGAGATGCTGCAAAGAGACGAGTCTGTGTTAAAAGTGGAAAAACTTATTTGCCAGGTTTCCCAAGTCCTTCGGAATTCCCCAGCTCACCATCAGGCCAAGGCTCAGTGTGGGTGTCCACCAGCCCCAATCAGGTGCCTATCCAGATTGCTCTGGAGCAGACGCACGTCCATAGTGTTTGTAGGCACAGAGCCGAGGCTTGGGAGCTATATTGGCTGCTCCACTTGCTTTCTTTACAACTGTCAATTCATTGCATTTTTGGTTTGGTTTTCTGTGCTTTAGTTTGGTTTCCTCCTGGCCCATTGGGCCCTAGAGGTTGAAACGATGGTTTTAGTTTTTCAGTCTTGTTTGGTGGTGGCTGTGGTGGTGGTGGTTGTATAGCCCCACTCTGGGGTCTCTTTGTGCTCTGGAGCACTCTCACCTTGCAGCGGGTCACCTCTTCTAAGGTGGAGCACCAGCATGCATGGCAGAGGCAAATCCTTACTATACTGCAGAGCACGCAATTCCGAGAGTATCTTGGCAATGTTTCTGGTGAGATATCAGGGCTGGGTTTAATTCTCTCTGCTTTGCATGTGGATATTTAACCTGCAGACATTAGAAACCCCCTACACACAGACAAATGTGCACGCACACACACACGCGCGCGCACACACACACACACACCACCACCACCACCATCACCACCACCACCACATACTCACATATCACACACACTCACACACCACATACACTCACACACCACATACTCATAAACATACCACACATACATTACACACGCACTCACATATTACTATACCACATACACACACACCCCCACATACACACAGAAACCACAGATTCAGAGATAGGGTGATAATTAAGCTGTGGTTGTGCTCTCTGTGACTTGCCATGACAAATGTGCTGCTGTGGCCCCTCCTGGGGTGGTGTCAGTGGCCCTGGACTTTGACTTGGGGAGAGGAGTGGCAGGAAGCATGCATGATGCCTATCCCAGAATCCCACAGGCATAAATGCCTGTGTTTCACACCAAGATGAGAACAAGACCGAACCAGATCTTTCCTTATTATATGAGTTTGTGTGTGTGTAGGGGTGGGGGAGGGTATATTATGATACTTCTGGATTATTTTTAACTGAGAATGCAGACATACTTACAGACATTTACCCCCTTATCATAGCCCAAAGTAGGTGGCCGGTAAGTCCCTTTTAGATACAATGATCCCTCTGTCCTGCTATTTGGTTTCTGTTTTTGATTTCTTGGGATATTTGGAGAGGTAAAACTGAACTTTGGGGTTGGAGTGATAGTACAGCAGGTAAGGCGCTTGCCTTGATCACAGTAGACCAAGATTCGATCCCTGGCATCCCATATGGTCCTCTGAGTCCACCAGGAGTGATTCCTGGGTGCAGAGCCAGGAGTAACCCCCCGAGCACTGCTAGGTGTGGCCCCAAAATAAAAACAAACCAAAAAAGACTGAACAGAATTCTGGCAGAACAGAGTGATGAAGATCGTTTTTACAATCATATAAAAGAACTTTAAGTGTCCCCATTATGTCTGAATGCACTTCATTCTCCTGCCAAAGCCCTGCAGAACAGTGTTCCAGTGTGGACATCTTATAAGAACTTCTGTGTTTAGGGAAGTGGGGCTGGGGCAGGAGGAATTCAGTCCATATTGAAGGTCTCCCTTCACTGAGACAAGGAGCATCTCTCTTCTTTTTAATTAATTTATTTTTTTACTTTTTGGGTCACACCCGGCTTTGCACAGGGGTTACTCCTGGCTCATGCACTCAGGAATTACTCCTGGCGGTGCTCGGGGGACCATATAGGATGCTGGGAATCGAACCTGAGTCGACCATGTGCAAGGCAAACGCCCTACCCGCTGTGCTATAGCTCCAGCCCCACATCTCTCTTCTTTAGACACGTTGGAAGTAGGGGCCCAAGCTTTCTTACCTCAAAACAGTGGGGGCAGCCCTTCCTCTAGCCCTTGTGATCACTGGGGACTGTCGCTGCCTCATGGTCTCCTTGGAACTCAGCTCCTCCCAAGGCCAGCCTCAGTAATGCCTCTGTGACCCTGCTCTGCTTCTCCACACCCCTTCCCCACCTCAGCTCCCTTTTTCCTCACTTGATTCCCTCACCTGCCTTGAGCCTGGACTTGCAGTTTTGCTTCCTAATCACTCCGCCTTGTTCCTTGCTAACCTGCTTTTCCTCTGCTGCTCAATGTCTTGCAGTCCTCCTCTTTGCTAGCAGCTCGGCAGGCTTCCGCCGAAGTACCTACTGCCGCAGACCTTGTCAATGCAATAGAACAGTTGGTCAAAAGCAAGCTGGTAAGTGGTGGATGCTGGAGGCAGTTCTGCTTGGGTCTCACCTCCGTGCAGCTCCTGGGGGCTGGCCCTCATCTGCCATGTTCCACTTTGTGCTGAATCTCATTCCTCCCATATTATTGTTTCCAGTTAATTATGGGTTCTAAAGAGCTCTGCCTCTTTGGGGATGTGGCTCAGTAGTTCAGCACCTGCCTCACACTTGGGAGATCTGAGTGCCACCCCCAGGACCAGAGCAAGTGTGACACCCAGAAATCGCCATCACCACGAAGTCCTCCATTTTGCTTTTTCTTAGGAATAGGCATGAAGAAACATTTCCTTGACTGGATTTTGGGGCAACATGAGGTGTACTCCTGGTGGTTCTTGGGAGACCATATGAAATTCCAGGGATTGAAGTGATGTCAGCTATGCTCAAGACAAGCACCTTACCTCCTGATAATCTCTAACGCTTCCTTGATTGTGTTAAGGCAACATTTTTTTTTTTTGCCCTTAAGAAGCATGTCTTCTCTCTTGTGACATGAATGAAAGTTGAAAAATATCCAAGACAAAATAGCTTGTCCCCGTAAGCTGGGCCACTAGCCTATAGGCAAGTGGCATTTGGACCATCAGTGAAATGTTTCTAGTAGCCCTGAAATGAATTTTGCCACTAAGTCACAGAATTAGATCTTTCATAGTGAATTTTTTTATTCTGGAATTTCAGATAGACTTCTAGCTTGCAATGTTAATTGCTGAGTAAAAATTATGAGGGAGATGGGCAAAAATGTGTGGCACCACACCACAAAAAAATTATGGGGGTTGATACATATCTCTATCTGAACATGGAGAACAGAATACAAGCCATTGAAATTGGCTTGAGTGACTGTCTCGGGGACCAGTGAGATCATTGCAAGGGGTTAAATGAGTTGAGCTGGTCCAGGGTTTGCAAAGTCTGGGGAAATGGTCTTTTATGGGATAGAGCTGGTCCTCTCTCTCTTCCAAGAATTCTGTATATACAAGTGTATCACTATAGGAAGATAATTCAGAATAGTTTCATTTCCATCCTCCTCATCCATGTTACTCATTTGGTTGTCCCCCTCCCCTCAGCCCCCAACTCTCATTAGGACAAATATCTGTGCTTCTGCCAGACTTCTTTGGTCAGTTCTGTTAATGGGCACCATTTAGGTCCTTCTCCACTTCGCCCCGGAATTAGAAGGAAATGAAGGGTGCTCTTAAGTTAAAGCTGTCTGATCATAATTTTGATTATAGTAACTCCAGTTTTGAAATTCCAGCTAATAGAGTGCCAGTGAAATTTAGCTTACATGACTTTCTTCTTTCCGTCTAAATGTCCTCCCTAATTTGCCCAAAAGAATTTTTTTAATGAGTTGATGTTTTTGGTAACTCCTCCTCAAGTTGTCCATTGTTCCCATTTTTCCAGTCTGTGGATGGAAGTTTGGGTGCTCTCATTGGCACTATATTGACTTTTCAAAGTATACCTCTCTGACCACTTCTCACTTGCTCTCCTTTATCTCCAGCCTGATAACACACTCTTGTCTCAAAATGCCATAAAATTTTTTTCCTAAAAAATTATCCTTTCTATTGGTCATAGAATAGTACTGGAATTAAAATGCTTGCACCTGACTTCTTTTTGATATCTGGTACCACCCGGAGAGATCCCTGAGCATAGAACCAGAAATAAGCCAGAAGTGAACCCTGGCCACTGTGTGTGGCCCTAAGACCAACCAAACAGATTATCCTTTCTTGGAACCAGAACAAGAAAAGCAAACTTGCATTGCACATGGTTGACCCCAGTCTTCAATCCCCAGCATGACATATAGGCCCCTAAGCTCTGCCAAGAGTGATTCCTGATCACAAAGCCGGGAGTAAGCCCTGAGTACAGCTGGGTGTAACTCAGGAACAAAACAAATCTTTTCTACTATTCAGGAAGGATCTATAGAGGACCCTCCAATCTAATAAATCCTTGTGGCATATGCTGGAGACACACAGTTTTTAAGAGTGTTACATTAGCAGAAACCTGTTCATTGGAACTGAAAGGAATAGTGATAGGAAGAAAGGATGAAGAGTTTCCAAAAGTTCTGTAGGCATGACCTGGGCTCATAAAGCCATTCAGCTGCTGTAAACATGCACTATCTTCAGTTGCTGTCTCTCACTAAAGAATTACTGAGAAAGTATTAACATGATTGGATGGCAGAATTTTCTAGTTGACTCAGGTGACAGAATCCTTTGTCAGGTATGGCTGCATATGAGTAAATAAAGTGAGAGATTTTTGGTGCCATTGCAAAAGTTTTAGTGATCTGAACTCACCAATTTATTTGTGGTTGGAGGAGGTGGTGCAGGGTTGTACCCAGCGATGCTCAGGGGATACTCCTGGCTTTCGTACTCAGAAATTACTACTGGCAGTGCTTGGGGAACCGAATGGGATGCCAGGAATCAAATCCAGGGTCAGACATATGCAAGGCAAATAAATGCCCTACCTGCTGTACTATTACTAAAATCCAAAACCTAAATTGTTAGTGTCTATAACTGATGTCTCTGTATTGCTCCAGGCTCTGAACTCACACATTCTTATATGAAAGTTATGTAGAAACAGATACTTTGATTAAACTCTTAGCCAGTGACTAGAACAATAGTAGCAATAGATAGGGCACTTGCCTTGTATGTGGCCTTTCTAGTTTCAATCCGTGGCACCCTAGATGGTCCCCTGAGTCCTGAGAAAAGTAATCCCTGACTGCAGAACCAGGAGGAAGCTCTGAGCACCACTAGGTGTACCCACCCCCTATAAAACAAACAAACAAACAAACAAACCCCTCTTAGCCAAATACAACTATCAAACGTTTATCTACCAACAAAGTATTTCTAATATTTTATGCTAATTAACAAAATTTTAGTATTACATTTATAGTCTGAGCTATTGATTTGGTCCCTTCACATGCTAAATTATCAGTTTTTAGGATTACAGATTATTTACAGAGCATTTGTTACTTCTTTTGCTTTACTAAGCACTACTAGTTTACCATCATCTACAAATCTACATGCCTCTATTTATGCTGATGTAGATTTTAAAATAAATTTAGATCATATAACAGTTTGTTAAAAATCATCCTCTCAGGAAACTAGAGAAATAGGCCTTAACTGTGACCCATCTGAGTTTGATCCCCAGCACCCTAAGGGCTCAGATCACTACTGAACCCCACTAAAAGTGATTCCTGAGCACACCACATGTGGCCTGAAACCACCATCAATTACAGTGGGAAAGACATTTGCCTTGCATGCGACCAACCAAGGTTCAATCCCTGGCATCCCATATGGTAACTCCAAGTACTACCAGGAGAAATTTCTAAGTGCAGAGCCAGGAGTAACCTGAGAATTGCCAGCTGTGGCCCCAAAACAAACAAACCATAAAAGTCATCCTTTTTTTAAAACAAAGTCAAAGTTTTCAGCAGTGTAGATAGAAGTAAAAAGGTATCATGCGGAGTGAAGTCAGTCAGTATGAGAGGGACAGATACAGAATGATCTCCTCTGGTCTCATATGTGGGACTTAAAGATATATACAGGGCAGCAACAAAGATCCAAGGAAACGTAATGGGGGAGCTGACACACTCAGTTGAGTTGGGGGTGGGCCAAGGGTGGGGAGGAGATATGTAATGGTAATGGAGGTGGTGTCAGAATTATGTTCATTAGAAACCGTATTTGGGGTGGAGGGGCACACCTGATTATGCTCAGAGGTTACTCCTGGCTCATAATTCCCTTATGTTCAGGAATTACACCTGACCATAAGGGATGCCAGGAATCAAACCCAGGTTGGCTATGTGCAAAGCAAGTGCCTTACCCACTGTACTATCACTCTGGCCCAATGATTAATAGTATTGTAAACCAAAAAAAAAAAACGTTTTTTTTAAAAATTTCTAATAAAAAAATAAACTTCTGTAGTTTTTTTTTTTTTAAGAATCATCCTTTCTTGGCACTGGAGGTTTTGTTCAAACTGTAGAACACATGTGTGGTGTGCTTGAGGCCCAGGGTTCCATTCTTGGCGTGGCCTGACCCTCTGAAATACTACAGAGGGCCCTATGGCGCACTGCTTCCAGTAGCCCCCACAACAGTCACAATCAAAACCCCCAAATCATGTTTTCTTTCACATTCTCTTATCACCTGGACCTGGAAAATTACTGTAGACCATTGGCTTGCTTTTCCCTACCCTGACCACTTTCCTGCCTTCATCTGGCCCCAAACAGAAGTGGGGCAAGAGGGCTCAGTTATTCAAGAAAGGTTATTGAGATACAGAAAGAAAATAAGAAACATCTATTTATCTCACTGTTTTAATATGGTTGTGTGCATGTGACTGTTATAACTTAATGACACTGATGCTACAGAGCACAGGTATATAATTTATAAAGTAGTTACTTGTCTAAGAACGGCATGACCAAAACCAAGTTTACTCATAGAGGCCTATAATTACAGTTTGTGAAATCACTGGTCTATAAGTAAAGGACACACACACACACACACACACACACTCTCACACACACACACCAATTAACATGAATTAAGTACTCTCATGCTTTATCAACTATTCTTCCACCTACCCTTTTCAAACTGGCTTACTCTGCTCCAACCTCACTTTTTTCCTCACTGTCCCAAGACACATGGGAGAACTTTTTCTCCCTCCAAATTTCAAATTTCTATTTATACTGCTCCTTTTCTCTGCTCCCTATAGTTTTTAATTATCTAAAGCCTGTCTGAAGTTCCACTCAAATCTTATCTCCCAAGACTCTGCTTACCAGCCAGGGATTTCCCAGGCCCACCACAGCCAGGGATTTTCCAGGCATGTGGTTAAGTTGCCTTAATCTTTTCACTTTCAGCCTACCTCCCCGGTTAGATGATTTGTCCTATAGGACATAATTTTTCCCTCCTCTACTAGCAGATAGGAAACTTTGACACTTAGACTTAATAAGTAAATCTGCTTCCAAAAGTCTGTCCTTTCCTATATTTTGGATGATCTTTTCTTCCTC